TTAAAAATATTTAAAATTATTATAAATAATTTTAATTATTAAATAAAATTGCAGGCAAATTTGCCTGCAAAACGCTTGAAGGGATACTAATTTTTTTATTTATAGTTTCAGATTTTATATTATTATAACCTTCTTTATCATCATTAAATTCTTCTCATAAAATAATAAAGAAGATAAAAATTTTATTAATAAAATTACTTAAAAAATTATAGTTAATAATTATTTGTTTGAAAAAATAAAAAATTATATAGTTTGATGACTTTTGCATCTAATTCAGTTATAAAAAATTTTTATTTTACTTTATTATAAAAAATATAGAATTATAAAGCCAATTACTTTAAAAAATAATCTACAAAAGTTTCTTAAATTATTATTAAATTAAATAAAAATTAAGTAAATAGTTTATATTTGATAAAGATAAAAATTTTAAATATTTGAATATTATTACTTAAAAAAATATTCAGAAAAGACTTAGAAATATAATATTTTTAAGCTACTTCTAAAGAAAATCTAATTGATATATATTATATTATCTATGTAACTAGCAAATATAATCACTTTTTGTATTGATAAATATGATATATAAGACAAAATGTGATATAATCATAATTATATTTAGTATTTATGGTTATGTCAAAATTAAAAATAAATTAAAAAAATTTAATCTTTCTTCTTAATGAAAAAATTCAAAATATGAAAATAGTTTTTTACTTAGATTCAAAAATTAATATAAAAAATTATCTTCTTATTACATTAAAAATAGAAATAATAATATTAATAATCAATCATATTCTAGCTAAATATAAAATTATTTCAAATAGATTAAGAAAAGTAAATGCAGATCATACTTTAGGATTTATAAAGATTAAAACAATTCTTATCATTAATATTAACTTGCAGATAAATAGTAGGCTTAAGCTGTATTAGTTGAATATTATGATATAAATGAATAATTTACCTTTTTATAATTGTTTGAAATATTTTTAAATAATATTTATTTAATATTATAAAAAGAAAAAATTTCTAATTAATTTTAATCAAAAATGTTATGTAAATTCTAAATTTAGATTACTATTTAAATTTATTTTAAAATTAATTTAAATATTTAAAATATTTAGTTTTACTAAAATTTTATAGCTTTGCGATTTTTATAAGTTTAAATATATTTTACTTTTAAATAAGGTTTAATATAATTTTATTAAATAACTTATTAAATCTTTAAATTTTGCAAATTTACTAATAATATTTAATCTATTTTAAAGTTAAAGAATTTTCAAATGATATTTATAATAACAAAACTAAAAAATGATTATTTCTTTTTACTTATTAATTATTAAAGATTTTTATATTTAAAAATACTTTATTAAATATTAATTAAAAGATTTAATACTACTTTTTATTTTTTAATTTTTTAAATTTGAATAGAAGTGATAAAGTTAAATAATAAATTATTAGATTCTTTTTTTTACTAGTTTTCTTTTTAACTATTATTAATAGATTTTCTTTAATATAATTTATTCTATAGTAGATAAAGTAAAATCTTTGCAAATTAATGCTTATTTAAAAAAGATTAAGGCCCCTACAATAATTTGTTATACTTTAAAATGATTTTTTCTTCTTGTATAAAATGCCTCATCATTCTTAACACTTGGGATTTTAAAAAGATGCGACATGTTCATTTAACTTTCTTTGTGAAAATGTAATTCTATTGAATGCATTAAAGGATAAGTTCTGTGATTGGTCGTTTTGCATTAAATTAAAAATATTTTGCAATAGAACTACAAGAAATAGTGAGTTTTTATAAATTTCTTTACTTCCATAATAAAAGATTTAGAAGGATTAGACCAAATGTGACTAATAAGAGGATCGTTATATCGAGATTTCACTGCATATTTATTAGCTAGAATTGAACTTGGTATATATGAATATTAAAGTATATACGTCAAATATCTTGCATTAATAAACATTACAGCTGCCGCATTGAACAAAGTTACTAGACGGTATATGGTAAGTTCATATCGTATTGGTTACAAGTTGTTTTGGTTCCTCCTTAAAATCAAAAGGGGGTGGGACAAATAAAAACAGGTGCTACATAAATTCATACAAAAAAAAAAAAAAAAAAAAAAAACTTAAAAATTACAGATCACGTGGGTAAGGATTCAGGGGCAAATAATTTCACGTGTTTTTGTATCACTATTGAACATTAAAAATTTCATTGCCCAAATTTCCTTTCCGTCTAGTGACTCGCCGTTTGTCACAACTTCTTTTGTTCTAATTTTTAAACTTACTTCAAATTATACCGTAACGATGGCTCAAAGTAAAAGTGCAGCTTACGATTATCTTATAAAGCTTCTTTTGATCGGGGATTCCGGTAAAGTACTCCGTTTTAGTTCTTTGTTATGAACATTTTGATATTGAGAAAAAAAGTTATCATCTACTTTGAAAAGAACTCTGATTTTTTTTCGCTGTTTCTTAACTTTTAAATAAATTTTTTTTTTTTTGCATTTATCGGAATTTTAAAACATACCAATATACATTTCTTATTAAAAAAAAAATTCGAATATTTAGGTGTTGGCAAAAGTTGTTTGTTGCTCCGTTTTTCCGACGACTCGTTTACTCCCTCCTTTATCACTACCATTGGCATCGACTTCAAAATTAGGACGATCGAATTAGACGGAAAACGAATCAAACTTCAAATTTGGGATACTGCTGGTCAAGAACGTTTTCGTACTATCACTACAGGTATTAAATTATATACTAATTCCAATTTTTCTTGGTCATTATTTTGTTATTTTAAAACTTTATATAATACTTTTGTATGTGAACACCCTTATAGCATATTATCGCGGTGCTATGGGTATACTTCTAGTGTATGATGTCACTGACGAACGGTCATTTAAGAGTATCCTTTTCTCTTGTGAAAATATTTATTGAAATTTTCAAAATTCATTATTATCTTTAATTTTTTTTTTAATTAACCAGACATAAGAAATTGGTTTTCCAATATAGAACAACATGCTAGTGAAGGTGTTAATAAAATTCTTATTGGAAATAAATGTGATTGGGTTGAAAAAAAGGTATCATCAAGTTTAATTAAGTCTAATAGTAATTAATATCCTTAATATATTTCTAATTTTTCTTCTACTTGATAAATTATCATAATCCTAGGCAATCACAAAAGAACAAGGACAGGCTCTTGCGGATGAATTTGGCATTAAATTCTTGGAAACTAGTGCCAAAGCAAATATCAATGTCGAAGAAGCGTTTTTTACTTTGGCCAGGTTTGGAATCATAAAATTATAATTTCAAAATTTTTCTTTAAGAAATTTAATTACATTATTATTGATAATAATAATATTATTATTACAGGGATATTAAAAAGAGACTTATTGATACACATGCACAAGAACAACAAAACACTCAAAACAAAAGGCTTGAATTGGATAACAAAAGTCCTAAATCCAGTGCAGGGTCAAACTGTTGTAACTAATTCATCTTATATTGAGTGAATAGTGTATAGGTTAATTTGCATTGATCAAATTTTTAACACTGCTTATTTGTTGCATTGTGTCTTAATTAATCCATCTTTTAATAATAATGGGCGATTTTTTTTATTTTTCTATTTCTTCCATTTAATCAAATAGAAATTTCTCTTGGATTTTTGATGTTTCATTTTATGTTGTTATTTATTATTGTAATTTTTTTCTTAAAACCTTTTTTTTTTTTATTATTTTAAATGGATACTATGAATATCATATATTAAACTTTGAAATTAATAATAAAGTTAGCCTAAACTAAGCCACAACAGTATTCACATTGCACGTGCTTTTTTTTTTTTTTTTTTTTTTTTTTTTATAAAATTGATCGAAAAAAATATTTTGAATGTTATCAAATATGATGGAAATTGATGAGACCAGGGAAGCGCAAGGCGCTATCTTTTCGATTGATGGTATTCTTATATAAGTTACATGCAAAATATAACTATTTGTATGAAATTTGTATGTATTTCTTAGCACCAATTTGCTTTTTTCAGTTTTGGCGTTAATTAATGAAGCCAGAAATACTTATGGTCTAAGGCATCAAGACTATGCGCGTTATAGGTAATTTATTAAGAGAATTTAAAGGCGAAAAAATCTAATATTTAACTTGCATAATTCTTATTTCTATATCGGAACAATAGACGGTACTGTACGCAGAAGGTTCACCAGCTTCGTAGTTCTTTAAATTTTACTCACGGAAAAGGCAAGTCTTTTCAAAAGAAAGAAATAGCCGACGATGTGTTCAATGACGTTAGGTGAGAGAGAGATATATATATATTATTTGTGATTTATGTATGAATATTTTGAGAATTCTTAACCATATTAAGATAATTATTTAATTCGTAGATATTTGCAAATCGTTTTGTTTAATACCGAGCGTGCTTGGAGTTATGCAATGGAATTAAAGAGAGAATCTAGATCAAATGGTGATGTTCGCAAAAAGCATCATTTAATTAAAAGATTGAAAAAGGCTGCAAAATGTGGAATACAACTAGAAAAGTTATGCTCACGAGAATTGAATAAAGTGGATACCAAAACTTTCTTTGATGCACAAGTTAGTATTATAAATTTGTGTTTTAATTCATTCAAAATATTACATACTAAATTCAGATTCTTTTATTCTGTAGGCTTATTCGGCCTTAATGTCCGGTTATTTTCTATTCGAAAAACAGTCTTGGCAAGCAGCATTAGATAAATTTGCCGCGGCAAGGTAATACGATAATACTTGATTAAAAATATACAATTTCTCGATTAATAAAATTAATTAAAGATTCCTTTACTTCAGAACGATATATGAGAAGTTATCTGCAGCTGGAACTTCTCATCAAGAAACATTGTGTCAATCTGCTATTGATGATATTGATCCGAATATCCGTTACTGTGCATTCAAGTTGAAGCTAGGTACTGATAGTAGTAATATAGGTGTTGAGGATCTAGTTAAAATTACCATAGGAAAAAACAAAAGCGTTGGTCTTGATTTATTGGAAGCGGAAGTAGAAGTAAAAATCTTTATTGAAAAATTGATTCGATATATTTTTTTTTAATGTACATTAAATGAAATAATCGCTTGTTATAATAGACTGTTCTTGCTCAGACTCGTCAAGAGAAGGCCGCAACTCTTACGTCCATATCTTGGCGCGATCGTGTAGTACCACTTAAGAATGCAGATTTAGCAATATGTATTTTACGAGCACGTGAGGCTACAGCCAATCTTGAAAACGCTTCAGATACTGATACAGAAGAAGCTACTAAAATGGAATTGTTCGATTTACTCCTTGAGGCTTATGGAGATGCAGAAAGGTTTGCCAAAAATGCCGTTAAGGAAGATGCGGTAAAAGATAATCTCTGTGCCGACTTCCTCTCTTGTGTCTTTGATACGTTTCTAATTATTAATTCACCTATTTGATTTCATTGTTCTGTTCATACATAATTCATCCTTGATCAACAAAGGAAGCTACGGCAAAACTTAAATCTTCTAAATCAGAGCAAATTTCCGCAGATCTCAACTTTGTATATAATTATGTGGCATATAATTATTTATCCCGTAGAATACAACGAAACTTGATGCTTGTTAATTCATTACGAAAACATATAGATAATCACGAACGTAATGATGGAGAGCGGTTTGTTGGAGGAAAATATCAAGATATCGTTAAATTATATGATAATATTTTACAGGTACTGTAATGTAACTCAATTAACTTTGAAAACTAAATGTTTTTTCTCTTTCTAAATTTATTTTGCGTTTTCTTCCTAAATGTAGAGTTTAAGCGAAATTAATGATCTTTTCGTAGTTCAAAATGATGTTAACTTGTCTAGAGAGATCGATGCCAAAATTTGGTATTTTAAAGCATGGAGGTAATGAAATTAAATGCAGTTATTCATGAATTATTTTTATTTATTTATTTTTAGATTGTTGACGCATATTTCTTTGATTGCAGAACTTTATTTGTTGCCTTGGCTTATTCGGCTATAAATAAGGAGTGGGAAGCAATTCTTTTATATGAGCGCGCTAGAGAATACAATGCTCAAGCTAGAGCTTCATTGTCTCAATTAATACTGGACAAAGATGATATATTAATTGTAACTATTAAAGAAGTTACCGAGATGGAAAATATTTTACGAGGTAAAATATGCAAGGCTCGAGCTTCTTGGCATATACTACATGATTCTAATCTGACCAAAAAAATGGGCGAATTGAGTTTTGATGGCAAATCCAAAGCGGACTCAAGTATCGATAAAGAGGTGTTCATTTCTTTTTAATTTATTTGGTTGGATTTCTTATTGTTAATGTTAGCTAATGACATACCTTTTTTTTTTACTTTCTATTTAGATACCTTTAAGTGAGCGCCTTAATCAATATCCCTCCAATTTGTCAATGAATAATGCGCGGTTGATTAATTTTCCACCTGAATTTATTCCTATTCCCACAAAACCACTGTTCTTTGACATTTCCTTTAACTATGTCGATTTTCCTCCTACTTTATCTCAGCGTGCTGGACGAAAAGCACAAACCAGTTTCTTGAAATCATTTTTATGGCGCTAAAAAGTGATAAAAAGTAAATACATAATATCGATATTAAAATTTAATACTTCTAATTAAAAAAAAAAGAGATTTGGATTCTCGGAATTTAATTTATAATAAAAATTTAATGAATTTATTTCCTAAATTTGATAATACACAAATTTGTTGCTTATGAGTATTCTGAATTTTACCTTTCAAAGATTAAAATCACAAACTATTACAATAAAATTATTGTGATGAACATTTAATAAAATACAATAATTGTAAGATAATTCGATTTATTTCTTAAATGATTTAGAAGATTATTCAAAAAAAAAAAAAAAAAAAAAAAAAAAAAATCATTGTACTATAATACAAATTTATATCTACGCAGATTAATCAATTATTGGAAAACAAATTTCACTTAAATTCCAAAATTCATTAATTATATTTCTATTCATCATTACTTACTTTTATAGAAGTATTTGTCATTTTCATTCTTGGAAAATTATTGGATTATTATGACATCAATAAAATCTGATAATAGATAGACTGACAAAAATAAATATAAGGCTTCATATAATTCTGCTTGTATTTTCATTTGCACAGGAAAACGTTCAAACCTTGTTTGGGTTCCAAACAAAGATCTTTAACAAACAGAACTCTTCAATCTACCTAGTTTGACAAAGCTCTAAAAGTCATTGATCACATGAGAGCTAATAAATTAAACCTATATTAAAACGGTATACTCTGGATTCTCATATATCTCTCAAAGATAAAAAAAAAATTACTGTATGAAGTGTTTTGGAAACTGAACGAATTGTAACTAGAAAGAATGTTACAATAATGTTTTTTGTTGAGTGCCATGATAGGAAACGAAAATATATATAATCCGAAAGGAGAAAAAAAAAAAAAAATAACAAAAAAAAAATAAGAGCGTAATAAATTCTTGTTGCATTGGAAAAGTTTGCTGAGGAAAATATAATAAAAATGTGCCAATAATCACGTCCAACTCTATATGCTATAATCAAACGTAGATAGGGTCCGTAAAAAAAAATCATAGAAATAACCTAGGTGTGATATAATAATAATATCCAAAAATCCTCTACAATTCTCACCTGAATCAACAGTCTTTTTCAATTAAAAATTAAATTATGCTGAATTCAGATTTCGTAAGAGCAATTCAATGGCCGAATTAACATCACCACCAGCTGCTAGTAAAGCTCTTATATTCTCAGCTTGATCCATGAAACCCATTTCCTCAAGTGTTTGAAGTTGTGCCCTAAAACGCGTTTCGGGAGGTTCAGAAGTTGTTGTTGTTTGTGATGCTCTATTAAACATTTTAAACATTAGAAGGATTTTTTTATGATTTTATAAAAAAAAAAAAAATTCAAGTAGTTTACCCAAGTGATTGTGACATATTCGTGAAAAATGGATTAGGTGATCCGAAAAGAGATGTAGGGTAATAAGGTTGGGGCATTTGCTGACGCGATGCAAATTGTGATGGCATAAATCTTTGCATAACTTGCTGGATTCGTCTAGAGTATTCGGGGTCGGTTGACATTGATAAGTTCTGAGGTAAATTAATATTAGAAAAATTTTGCGTGGTTCCAGGTGCATTCGTGAGAGACGTTGCATTGGGAGTCCCATTCGCCTGAGAGTTTTGGGTTGTTGATTGAGTAGTAGAGCCTTGTGTAGAATTTGCAATCCTGGAAGCTGATGATGGCGACGGAAAAGGCTATATATATAATAGTTGACAATTTTAAAAAAAATTTTGATTTAAATTCTTTTTTTTTTTTTTTTTTTTTTTTTTTGAACAATGAAAAGATTAACATACCATTTGTAAACCCATAATACCGAAAGATGGTATTCCTAAATTGAAATCAAAAACAAATTACGATATGATTATATATAAATATTTATTTATTTATTTGTACAAGGAAAAAAAAATATCGAGTTAGATTTTGACTCCAAACCTCCAAATATGCTTGTTATATTCCCTGATGTTGACGAATTATTATTGTTACGTGGCGCCCATGGGTTTGGCAACGGTGTAACATTTATACGTCCCTCTGTACAAATCATGACAATAATTAAATAACAAATTACAAAAAGTACCGAATTGTTTTGATTTAGCTACCTGGAGGACTTTCGACATTTAACATTTCAGCTAGACGTCGGTTTGCTGCTTCTGAAGATTGATCATCCTTTTTCGTAATAACGAATTATGTTTAGATTTGTCATCAATTCTAATCAAATAATAACGCGAAAACACATTTCTTATCAAACATACATGTCTACCGGCAGACTCAAGTGGTTCCTGTAAGGTATGGTACATCCGCCGTAAATGATTAAAGCCGCCTGGTATAGTTTCAAGGTTCGCGAGAGCTCGATCTGATGATGAAATAAAGGTAAATTTAATTATCCTTTCAATGGCGAAAAACATTGGTAGATTGAGAATCAAGAGTAAGCTAATCACCATTATTACGCATCATTTCTCTCATTAATTCCGGATTACGTGCCATGTCCATTGTCTGGAAATAAATCATTACCGCATAAGTTAAAAAAAAAAAAAAGAATTAAAATATTGAAGTTATAACATGAAAAATAAATTTAAACCTGACGGATGAAGGATGGGTCATTCTGTATGCATAAATAAAGATGTAATTTTCAATAAACGTATGATTCAAGAAAAAAAAATTTTTTTTTTTTGATTTTACACCTACAATAATATGACCAATCTCGGGATTTCGTTCTATCATTTGTCTCATAGTAGGATTTTGCATCACCATGGATCTCACTATCTCTGGATTAGAGAGGAGATGCTAAAAAGAAAGTGTGTATATATGTATAAATATTATTAGAAATGACAAGTTGAGACAATTAATGGACAATTTAATATTATATTGGGGCTCCAACCTAGATAATATACCGCAGTTACGATTCAATGAATGAAACTACTGCGGTATAAATAGTATAATTAAAATAGTACATTATATATGAGAATTTGTATCGGGTTGAACTTTACAAACACATACCCTAATCATTGGTGAATTCATCATACTTCTCATTAAATCTTGATCGAAATTGGCAAAGGGATTTGTTGTCGCAGAATTAGTGCTCCTGTGGCCAGTCGATGATGGTGGCACATTGGCAGCTTGTTCCGCCGCACGATTATCTGCTCCTCGAACCACGTGTATTGTATGGCCTTCTTTAACACCTGAAGAACGAAATTGTTTTAATTTAACAAATTTATAAAAAGAGTTCAAGCTACGTCAAAATAATTATAAAATAATCTTTCTAACAAGTCGTTAGATCCTTGTCTTGGTCGGAATTGGGTAATAAGTTATATAACATAAATATAATATAATATAATTTAATTTATTTATTTTTTTATATTTTTTTTTTAATTTGACCCACCATATAGGTCTACCATGTCTTCATCCTTCAGAACCCTCCCAGAGTAAACCAATCGCATACTATCAGCAGGTATAGTGGTACGTAAAGCAAGTTTCTCTTTTAACTGCTGAACCGTTAACTGCCCAGGATCAAATCTATAATCAAAGCCGTCACCAGTAGAAGGACGAAATTTAACATTGATTAATTGCTCGTTTGAGTCTTCCATATTAAACGGTATAATATTAAAATGACTAAATGTATTGGCTTGTCTCTGCTTTACTAAATGGTCAGATAGTATTTTGAAATGAGGAGGTCTAGGCTTTGAAAGAGTTTATCAGAAGGTTAAGACTTTGAAAATTCCATTGCTTACGCACATCATTTGAGTGATAATTAACGTTGTGATAAGAACCATTCGATTTTTTTTACTATCACATTAAATCGATTGATGATGTAATTATCCCCCGGAAACAACAATAACTTTAGTAGCACAATTACCAACTTTTTACCCCAAAGTCGTCAAAAATTCAAAAATTCAAAACAGAAATTTATTGATTTCGACATATGTTGCACGAATTAAAATTATCTGGGGGAGCAAGAATTTATTCCTTAATTTATTATTAAACCATAAATAAACCTTATAATGTTAACAAAATAATATGTATCCGTACATGTGAATAAAATTGAATAAACGAAAAAAAAAACTATCTTAGGGAGGGGGGAGGATCTAGGATGAACATAATTAAAACTACTACCATAATGGGTACTTGGAGAGTGTATTATTATAAAGCATAAAATAAAAGACACTAAAGTGGTAATTATTCATATCTAAATTAGATCTTAATTAAAATTCTTATAGGGGCAAATCTAAATCTTAAAACTTCCGGAAGCATAAACTTAAATAAATCATATAAATTCTATATAGTAGTATACTGCAGTATAAAAAAAAATAAGAATAATAAGAAAAAAAAAGAGATCGATCTATAAAAGTAAAATTTCTTCGCTATAAAAAGAAAAGAAGGAAAGAAAGAAAAATAGAAAAGATGATATATGTATAACAAAAAACAGTATATATAAATGTTTTTTTTTTTTTTTGTTTTTTTCTTCAAGCTTTTTTTTGGATTTTTTTATGTTATATTTTTTTGCTGAATTTTTGTTACTGGGACCTATTTTTTAGTTGATAAAAGGCATGTAATTGGCTTGAATGTATGCGTCTAATAACATAACAAGTAATATTGGGAGGAGCATGATGATAAAAAAGCATCCCAGACGTCTGGAACGTCGAATAAAAAAAAAAAAAAAATTAGAGATAAGTTTATCAGAAGAAATACAAGTCAAAGATTTATAAAGTAAAATTTACCTAATTCGTTCAAATTTGGTCATTATATGAGGTTGATCGTGAGTGATCACTTGTAACTCTTCTTCTAATTCGGCAAAAGTTTCGTATAATTCTTGCAATTCTTCCTCCTTATCGCGCAATTGCTTTTCCTGTTCTTCGGTTGCCTTTCTTATTTTTTCGATCGCGGACTTGATCATTGCATTCTAGATGAAAAAAAAAAAGTCAACGCGTTTCAATACATGTGTTTTGCAGATCGATGCGTAAAAATTGTATTACATAAGCTGCTTATATACGTAAGGCGCAGACCAAAGAACTATAATATAAAATTGTTTCATTGTTCATGATTTCTCATTTACCTTTTTAATGAGAGCTTCAACTTCATTATCGTCACCTGCTTCTAAATCGTCTTCAGCGGTGGATTCAATTCCGTCAAATAAGCGAGAATCTTGTTGCTGTCCAAAAAACGGAACAGAAAATTGATGGGACGACGAATGCATCTTGGATGATCCAACACTAAATTGTTCAAATTGAGATGAAATAATTCTTTTCTTTTAGTAAATGTCATGCTGTCATACAACGATGGTGTAATTTGGAAAATAATTACCTGAAATCTTCGTATTCTTCTTGAAATGTTGCTTGAAATTCTTGCAGCTTTTCAATTAACTAATGAGTGAACAAGAAAAAAAATTTTAAGATAAAAAAAAAAAAAGATTAAGGTACTCGTTATTACATTTGCTCAGACCGCAGCAGAAAATGAAATTGTTTTTTTTTTTACCTTTTCAGCTGGGTAAGGTTGCTCATTAGTAATAAACTCTATGACATGCAATCCTTTCATGTCAGGAGCGAACATTGAGGCGGCATGAGAGCTCATTGCGGTAGTCATCATGAATCGTTAGAAAATTTTTTTTTTTCCTGTTTTCAAATTTTTTTGTTTTTTTTTTTTTTGTATTTTTTTTTTTTTAAAGAAAAGAAGGATGAATTAAATGTTTGAACCAATGTAATGGCAAAATTTTAAATCTTTTTTATTTTAATTTTTTAAGAGTTTTTTTCGTTCGTTTAATGTAAGTTTTAACAGCGCGTGCAAAGAGCACGGTACAATGTCATAATAAAATGGAAGGTAATGGAATTATATAAACTTTCAACAAAGTCGAGAAGTTTTAAAGGACTCTTTTACAAGATAACTTCTCTACAAGTGTTTATATAGATTTTTGGAATAATAGGAATGGTTGGTTCGTTATACAGGAAAAGAAAAGGGGAAAACGCGAAAGCTAAAATGAAAAAAACAACGCTGTGCGAAGTTTTTGCAGAGGAAAAACGGAGAGAAGAATTTGTATGACAAATGCAACGCCTCCTGTTGCGCCTGCAGTACTTAAAACTTTGAAAAAAAAAAAACTTTTTTTTTCAAAGAAAGTTTTTTTTTTTTTTTTTTTTTTGCAAGAATTTTTAAATGTGTGAACTCTGGTGGCGGAGTCCACCTATCATCACGAACGGTATTAGAATTTACGGTATCTAATTTTATGCAGTTGACATTTTTGACAATTTAAAGTATAGAATTATGTGACCAGGTGGTATGATTGTGAACTTATTTGGTATTATTCTCGTCGCTTCTGGTTGTAAGGATTAAAGTTGATCGTGTTTTATTGCCCGATTTGAATTACGCAGTAAATTTATCAATAAAAGTCCATTGTTTTAGAAAAATTTCGCTGTTGCACGTGGAGATGCGTTGTATCCTGTTGTGGAAACTGTGTGAATTTGCATATTGTTGTTCAGTAAACATCCATCAAACCTATCAAACAATAGATTATTAATCCGATTATTCGGTTACCAATCAAACACCGAAAATCCTCTTCGGTATGTGATCACGTGGCCGTCGGTATTAAATCCTGTATAAATATCACCCTGAACTGTCAATGTCTGCCTATTACGGTACGGCATTTTTTTTTTTTTTGATTTTTTTTTTTTGTTTCCTCATAAATTATTTGCTACGGCTCCCCCTTACATATTAACAATAGTTTGAATTTTAAATAGGTTTAATTTTCATTATTCTTTTTATTGGTGTATAACCGTTAATAATCTTTTTTTTTTTTTTTTTCCCTTAAAAAAAATAAAAAATAAAAATAAAACATAATAATGAGGTCATCTAACGAAAACAATGATGAATTTTCAAAGAGCGTACATGGTAAAACGAGTATTAAAAAGGGGTTGAAAGACTCTTACAATTTGTTAAAAGTTAATCGTATACCTTCATCAAGCAAGTCAACCGTTGAGAATGAGAAGAACAAAAAGGAGAAGAAAGGTATTCGGTTAAAAACTAACATGAAAGCTTATTTGGAAGTGACAAGGCAAGGTCTTGAGAGGATAGCTTGGTCTTCTACTACTAAACACAATAAGCTAAAAATAACGATTAAGGAAAACATGCAGACAATCAATGATTCATGTCTAGAGGAACAACAGCCCACCATTCATCGATTACCCAAATTTAACAAGGTTAATTTTGTGGCTGCTGTAGGCCATGAATTTTTTAAACAATACTGTCTTTCTTCTGTATTATCTCTTATAAAGCAAAACAATGGACCTCATTAAATAAATTTTAAATTTCTATAAATATTTATTTTTTCTAGGTGCCACAAATTAATCATAATAATGTCGGCACAAAAGAAACGCTTGAACAAGTGCAAGAGATGCATCAGCTTATCAATCGATTACAAGAAATGTTGGAACAAGAAAGCAAAAACCTATCCGAACCTGCGAAAAATCTTTTATTCATTCATAATCAATTGTTTCAATTAGAATTATCAAGAGATAACACGATGCAAGAAGCAAGCACAGTATCACAAGATGTTATTGGTACATTAAAGGGTTACTTTAACCAATTGGATAAATTTTCTCATCATTTCACAAATTATCTTTTGGATCTGTCAAGGACTTTAATCTTCTTAGCTAAAAGTGGACAAGCGTCAACAACCATCGCTAGTATAGTTAAAATTATCGAAAAAGAAGAAGCGGAAGACGGACGCGTATGTGATGGTTCATTGTTTAAAGTTCATGAAGATTATCATCCGGGAAATCAACGCGATTCTAATTTAGAAACCGGCAAAAATATTGCACGTACAATAAAATCATATAAAAGTAAATTTTTAGAACAAGTTCACAATTCGATCGGTGAAGTTTTTAAAGGAACCCTTCAAAAGTGTAGCGAATTACCGTTACAACTGTTGTTAGAACAATTGGATTTCATTTATATTGATTTAAAATTGGTGAAAAATGAGATTGATCCCCTCTTTCCTTCACATTACAAGTTGCTTTTATTATTTGTGTTGGAGTATCATCGGAATGTTCATCTGTGTATGGAGGAAGTTCTACATACTGACCTTGACGCGGGATCGATTCTGACATTAATTAGGTGGGTACGACATTACTATACATTTATGGATCAAGAAATGCACCAATCTGAAGACTTGTTGGAACCAACGTTGTTGGGTGGGCGAGAACAGGAATTGATTGATGATTGTCTTAAGATGATGCGTAGTCAATTTCAAGAATGGAAAACGAATCTGATAGAAAGCGATATTAAGGAATTTACACAACGTCAAGATCAACCGGAATTAGGTTCAAATAATTTAGCAGGGTTACCTGGTGTTCCTGTTTTGATTGACATGGTAAGACAGCAAATAAACGTGGCAACGGAATTTGCAAACCATCAATTACTGACCGACGTAATAAATTATTGTTGTGAGGTAATGACAGAAGCTCAATTGATATGGATTGACTTGATGAAATCCGAATTTCAGCGACATTTGGATAATCAAGAGGAAACTCCCGAGGGACTTGTCATATATATCGTTGCTTTGGCCAATGGACAACTTGATTTCTCCAAATTTTTAAAACAATTTAAATTACCATTACCTGAAGGATATATCAAGAACGTTACCGAAGTACTTAATAATGTGATAAACGGTTTCTTTAATGTCGTGACGAATGCTATCAATACCATCTTGGGTATTGTATATAATGACCTCAAGAAACCTTTTAGAGAATTACACACGACAAAATGGTACGAAAGAGATACAATGGCCGAGATTATCTTTACTCTCAAAGATTACACGGAGGAATGTCATTCACACCTAAACCCTGAAGTTTTTCATCATTTAATAGCCCGCGTACTTGATCAATTTGTAATATCATATATAGAATCAATGCGTAATAGAACCGTTAAATTTAGGATGCCACATTGTATTGATAAGATGAAACAGGATATTTGTTCGGTGTCAGAATTTTTTGGACAATATTTTGACGCGCGCGAATTAAATTCACAACTAGATGTAATTCATAAATTACATAACTTCTTGGGTACTTCTAAAGAATTAGTTTATTTGGATTATTATGCACTTCGAAAAGCTTATGGTGATTGCCCAAGGAAATATTTGAAAATCATCTTATCAAAAAGAGATGATCTTAATCTATTTTCGGTGAAAAAAATTAATAAGATACTTAAGGATAAGGCCGCTGAAGCTGGCGAATATACCGGCGAACCAACTGTATTTAGTAAAATCATTATTAAAGATTTAGAGGGAAATGCTCGTGATGAATTAAAAGGTGATTTTAATGAAGTTTTTCATAATATGAAATTACATTCAATAAAAAAAATCATCTAAATATATCTTCTGATTGTATGGAACAATTGTCCAATACATTCAATAGGAAAAAAAAAAAAAAAAATCCTTTATAGATTTTTTTTTTTTTTTTTTTTTTTTTCACAATCGGAAATTCATTTTCGAACAATATTTGCATATTTATCATTATAATAATAATAATTTTTATCCTAATAATTGTATTTATTTATTTACTTATTAAAATTATAATCTTAACCATTTTAAATCACCGTAAGATTTCTCGGTATTAACGAAATAACTTAATACGGTATAATTTCATAAAAAAAATCGATATAAATGAAAAGTTTTTTAGTTGTGATTTTCAATGTGCTTTATTTGTTTGTGCAAAAGGTTTTTAATGAGGTTTGAAGTTATACAACGCAGTAAATAAAAAAAAAAGGAGGTAATACGGACGTTGGTACAACATTCCAAGCGAATGTTGTGTCATCTGTCAATGAAATAATGTACCCGAATCATAAAATAATTTATTATTATTATTATTTTTTTTTTTTAAAACTTAATATCCCCTTCGCTAATATCATTTAAAGATAATAATTCCAATTGACCTTTTCCATTTGTATTTGATTGTAATAATTCATTAATGGTTCTAAACTGCCCAGGATCAATTGTACATATCTGCAAGATTTTTAGTTAAGAAAAGAAAAGAATAGATTAACTTCTTAAAATGACATTTGATATCTTATTAAAATATTTACCAATTCGTATTCGTCACCATAACTTTCATCTTCAATATTAGAAATCAAAGGTGTCAACTTTTCTTTAACTTTCTTTTCTTTGATAGGAGTCGTAATTCTCAAACGCATTTGTGCACGAGCAATAGGAATGATCTTCTTTTCTTGAAGTTGTTTGATAACTTCTAACACTTGTGATTTTGTATTACGATTCACGTTTACCGAAAGATGTAATTCACTCATTGCTTTTTCAATCATCGTGACAGTATATGGTCTTTTTGTTTCAGGGTTAACGCACTTTTCTGCAACCATGGTAGCAATTTCACGATAGATACTATCAATCTGATGTGTTCTTTCTTTATCACTAACTTGTAATTGTCCTTTCTCCAAAATCTAAGTTGAAAGAAATTTTCACGGGGGAAGTAATAAATAAATAAATAAATAAAATCTATAACCTATATAAATGAAAATACATACCTCCTTAATGATTTGATCTAAATCCTCAGTTTTAAAACATTTCTGTAAATTGTCTTTTGGAGCTACTTCTCCTTTAGATACATTTGTAAATACATTATTGATTTGAAGAACGTTATCTAAATCCGTCTCCCTGTAATAATTTTGAATCAAAAAAAAAAAAATATTGTAGCAAAAATGCAGAAGAAAAGAAAATGTAGTTTTTTTTTTTACTTACACCCCCTTCCTGTACTCGAGTACTTTATTTTTATAACAAGCAACTTCAAATCGCTTGCCACCTTTCTTTATACGAACTACAGAAACGTTAGTTAGTCTTTAAAGAAAAAAAGAAATATTTATATGTATGTATATATTTTTCTTTTAATTAGAACAGAATATTTAAAAAGTAAAAAAGAAGGAAATAAAAAGGAAAAGGTTAAACTACACACTTTATTTGATTGCTAGGTTGGTTAAGTGGCATATTTTGAATTGAATAAGTTAAGGGCGACAAACTTTTCACATTTTTTATTATCACGCACGCAACATAAAGAGGTCAGATTAAGATCATGTGAATTTTTTTATTTTTGATAACAATCATTTATTACATATTTTAAAGAATAAAGCATTACAAAATCATTACATATCGAAAAGCAAAAAAAAGAAAAAAAAAGAAAAAAAAGCAAAGTTTAAAGCCAACCAAAAAATTCTCTAAACTTCAATAATGTTTATCTTTCATCAATTTTTTTTTCTTCTTTTGGATTTATGAACGTTATCAGGTTGCAAATTATCATCAACTTGTTCAACGAAATTCCAAAGAGTTTTGTAAACGGTCTGATTGAATCTAATATCAGCATGATACTTTCTAACATACTCTTTCATCTGCAAAAGGGTGTCTTGATACCAAGCCATCTCTAAATCAGAAAATTTCGCGAGAATATAACAAAAAAATACGAATTCGATTGGAGCAAATCGATGATCTTTGGTAAAGATTTCATCATCAACCTTGATTAAAAAGTCCAATTCGGCAAAAACTCTGCTAGATTTTTGTTTGAGTTCCTGTGGTACCGAGCGATCGTCCTGTAAATATTTGGTGATGGCACCAGGATTCGCGCTGAACTTGGTCGGATTGAGTTCCATCATGTGAAGTGCCTGTACAATTAGTTGAAATGGTTTACCGCGTTTATTATCTACAATCTTATTAATGGATGGGTATTGCTCAAGAATATTTTTAGCAAGTTCCGCGATTGGAGAAGTGAAACGGTGTAATTTTTCTATTGAAAAGAAGAAATCAAATAATGAAAAAAAAAAAAAGATAAATAAATAAGTATAAATAAATATATATGTGATTCATACCTGCCGTAGTCAATGCCAATCCAAGTTGCACGCGACTAAAGATTTCTTGCTCTTGCAATATAGTCAGATCATAATACTCGACTAAAAAATAAATGATTAAAATTTACGTATGTTAATCGAACTTCTTTTTTAAAAAAAGTAATTGAAAACTGTTCAATACGCACTACAAACTAATTCGGAATTATCGAAATCTTCTTTTTCTCCAACCGATAAGGCATTCGAATATTGCTCATCATCATCAATATTCTCATAATAAGTCTTTTTCGTTCTTCCTTCACTTGGGCAGAGATATGGAATTTCATTGTTCATAAATCTAGATGACAAATGAAATTAAAATAAATGAACAAGATTTTTTTTTTTTATCATTATTAATCGTTACCTTCGAATTGAAGTCAATCTTTGCTTGCCATCTATACAAATACGTAACCATCTATTTCTATCCAATTTCTTGCAGGAGAATAAGATGGGTGGGACGTAATAGTTTTTGAGTATCGAATCGATCAAATGACATTGTTTAGTATTATTCCATACAATATCTAAAAAAGGAAAAACAAATTTGATTAAATTAATTAAATGAATTAAATATTTCTTTATTTATTTATTAATTTATTTATATGTACCGCGTTGAAATTCTGGGTTCGTGTCAATCAAGCCTCTCTCCATCCAATCATATAACTTGTATAGGGTATGATTAACATTTCTTGGTTTTGTTAAAGCTTCAGTCATCTTTTGATTAATAACGTGAAAGAAAGATATTCTCAAAGGAAATTTGTTTTTTGGTTAACAGAGTTGAAAAATTATTTTTCTAAGAGGTGCTTTTTATTACCAATTGTATATTATTCATTACATTTTTAATAAACTTTTTCCGAACATTACTCATTACTTTTTTCTATCCAAACAGTCATATATAAGCTTTTTTTTTTTTTTTAAATTATTAAGGGTATTGATATACAGATTGAGAATAACCAACTTATAACTAATAAATAACCAAAATCAATAACATCTAGTTTATTTGCAATATTATCGTTCGGTAAGATAAATGAACGGGTATCGGATGGAGAAAGAGTATCTTTTGGGGGAGTTGCTTTGGTGGGAGTTGATTCGGTAGGAGTGGTTTCTTCAATTGGAATAACCAAAGGAGGTCTTGCAGCACCTTTCGTGAATGAAATACTAGCGGTAAATTTTGTTTCATACTTATTAGGATTAACAACTCCCAAACAATAAATCTGCTCGCTATCTAAAGGAGGGTCAGTTAATCCTTCACATTTCTGCACAGGTTCGATACCACAAGATAAATCTGGTAGATATAATACTTTCGGAGCATTTTGGTCAATCAATGAACGAATAAATGTATAATTCGATACAAATACAAGTAATCCTTCTTTGTCATATACTTGAGGTCGATTTCCGACTTCATTTATGCCGAATCCGTTTGTTGCATTTTCTGGTGTTTTCACCACTTGCAATATATAATCTGAGAATAAAGAGAATTTTTTTTTTTTAGGGCTGGTTGATAATGCGAATGTCGTGCACAAACATTGACATGTTTACATCTTACAAAAGTCGGGGAAAAAAAAAAAAAAATTTTTACAAAAAATACATACTAATATAATTTGTTAGACCTTTACTACAAATATACCAGGTTTGATATTCGGGTATTACGCCAATACCAAAATTTGTGTCCGCTGAATCCTGAGAATATACCACCTAAAAAATTTTTTTTTTCTCTTAGTTCGAATTAATTATTTACACCACAAGTTCCGTTTAGGGAGATTTTAGCGTTACCTTTAATATCATTAAAGTGAGATATATTAAAATCATAAATGTCTTTTTAAACATCATCTTTATTTACTGCGCCGATTTTTTTTTCTCCCTTAAAAAATCTTTTTGTGCAAAATTTATCTTGCTTATAAAGAAAAAAATTTTTTTAAGGGGCTGTGAATCCTTATCTACCAACAAGGCGAAGTAATGTAAACATAATTCTATAAATGATTTTTGTTTAACAAAAACAATCCTAAAAAAAAAAAAAAATACCTATTATATAATTAACTATTTTAGTATGACAATAGAGAGCCTTTTTTTCCGATTTATAAAATGAAAGCCGCTGGCGGAACGAATCAAACGAGATTTGAACTTATAGATGGTAACGATACTTTAGAAACATACATGGATTCAACATGAAATTTGTTTGTTTGTTTATCCTTTATTTCATTGGTTATAAAAGAAAAATTCCATATTTTAAAATTCCCTCTAATCCCTCTGTTTCTCTCTCTTCCCATCCCGCTAATAATTCTAAAAAATAAATTTCCTTACTTGGAAATTTGTTCAAAAAATTTTATATCCCACTGCAATGAGACACCCACACGGAAACCTTTAGTAAAAGGCGAAAGGTTTATACGATCTGCAGGTATCTCGTGAGAAATGATATGGATCAACAAACGCAATTTTCGTTCATTTTATAAACATTTAAGAAAATATGGGATTCCCAATGACGTACGTCATCTGATTTGGACCGTCGGAGCGGGGCATTTGAGTTGAACCATTTTTAATTTTTTTTTAAAAATAGGTTGTTCCTTGATATGCACGCAATGCAATCTTATGTCTGTCTCTGCATATACAGCATTTTTCTTTATTTAAATAATGACAAATAAATTGTCAAGAAACATGCATATACATTACATATGAATATATTTATACACTTCAATCACCTTAACATACTTTTTTAGTATCAAACAACCTTTTTGGCTAACCATTCTTTCCATTGATCAAAATTCCACCCAGAACTAACTTCATTATCAACTATTTTATCGAATAAAACGGTGGGACTAACATGAATTCTTGTTTCTCTTCCCAATTTAATGTGCAACTTCAAGTCACTTGTGATTTTATTTCCTTCATTACGAGCCTTCTCAATATCAGATACTACTGGTATATAAAGTAATGAAAGAAACTGAGAATCACTCATTCCAATTTCCTTTACATGTTTAGCCAAAGATTCATAAATTTGTGCCCGACTCAAATTATGCACCGATTCATCAAAGTATCTAAATACAACACAAATAAAAGTGGTTATTCATTTATTTTATTTTATACATCATCATTGTTGTTGTCAAACGAAAGTTATAAATTTATGCGTACTGTTTTTGAACTTCGAACAACTTATCTGAGAACTGAAAAAACTTTGTTGATTCGATTTTCTCAACAGCGAGTGCAGCCTGGAATACATCGCATAATAAAAATGAATTCAATATAACATATTACAATTTGAATGATAAAGTTACCTCATGAACAACGGTTGAGAACGGATGCCATGGTTGTACTTGGTGCCTAAAAATGAATTGCACTTTTCCGGGATAATTTTCTTCTATATATGGTAAAACTTCCTATAGATTATCGATTATTATCAGTTATTAATTTCGTTAATAATTGAAATTTATTAAGATACTCACATTTCGAACTCTTTTGTATAGTTTAGCAGAGAATGGACACTAAATTGTTTAAAAATAATATCTAAATATCTTTCTCAAATGACATTTTTAGGTGAATGATATGCATGACAAACCACGTAGTCCAAGTAAACTTCTAAAACATGTGGTGCAGTGCTTGCGCCTAAACGATGACCTGAGGAAACGAGAGACATTCTTATTATTAAAAAAAAAACCCCTTTTTTTTTTAAAAAAAAAAAATAAAATAAAATAAACGAGTTAAAAGTTGAGCTTTTAAATTGATAAGCTAATTAGATCGTAAGCTAAGCCATAAGAATCATCGGCAGGGTATCAAATCTTTTTAAGCCACAACCTTTTCTTTATTTTATTTAAAATTTGACTAAATAATACTAATGTTATTTTGAATTACGTAATATAATGTATTTTAACATAATAAAATTATAATTAGACTTAAAATTCTAGCTAAAATCATATTATATATCCATCTAAATAAATATAGTATTGCTTGCTAATTCTACTTTCTCAGCCTCAACTTCAGCAAATTTCTCTCCAAGTTTGGTAATCTCGACTAAGAGCTTGGCATTTAATTATCAATGAATCAATGGATTATAATAATTTTTTTTTATATAAGATGGAATAATTCAAAAGTTCGTTAGCATAGATAAAAAAACGAGGTAATATC